GGGGGGTAGGTTGAACTAGGATTTCTTTCTATATTTCTTTCTTGCACAAGGCAACTGCAAACAAATCATCTGTAATATTTTTTGAATAGTCCATGCTAGCGTAGGTAGCAACAAAAACACCAGAGAAATGCAGATGGATTCAACTACCTGAAAAATACAAGCAAAACTTCGACGTTTCGTTTGCTTGTACTGTATTTTTCACTAGGTAGTTGAATCCATATATCATCTGCGTTTCTCTCTGTAATATTTTGTTGTTACATTGACATTGACAAAGTAAATTGATTCATAATTGCATTCAGAGTGAACTGGGGATGAAGTTGCTTGTAAAAAGTTATAAATGCTTTACAAAATCCTGAATTTTTAAATGCAACAACTTGACAAGTTTGATCCAAATTCTTTTCAGGATACCCGGAAAATGCTCTTCTGAGGCTCTGAATACGCATTTTTCTGGGATAGCCCCAGACCAATTTGGTACACACACACCATAATAACGATTTGCTTTGAGGCCTTGCTAATACTTTATATCATGCGTATTATATCTTTATATATTGTTTCATTATTTTTTATTTAATTAAAAAGATAAAAACAGCGGCTAGTTTACGATACGTTTAATTTTGTTTAAAAACCAGCCGTAGAACTGGCTATCCCCTGGATAAACGTCATAGCGTGCAATATTATTTTTTCATATTACACCAGGTTACGTCAATCGTTAATTGTTTTCACATTGCACCATTGATGTCACAACTCCATATTTGGTCATGCAGCCATTGCATCGGGTTGACGCGACGATTTCACGCTGTGCTAGGCTGTTAGCCAATCAGAAACCGTAAGTCTCTTGAATAAGTAGTAAATTGATTTGTCCAATAGGTGGGTTTCATTATCCTATACATAATACATTGTCGATAGAATTACGGGGAATTAGAAGTCATATGTAGCAAATTAGTAAAATAATTATAGAGAGATATAGTTTTTCTCCTACAAGGTTTACACATTAAGACATAAAAAGTACAATAGTACAAACATATTGTGCCAACCTCGTAGCTTAAACTTTCTTCAATTTGGCTCTCCCTGAATCGTTGGTAGAAAATATTTGCAGTCAAGAAATTACCCCTACAAATATAAAACAATTAAAGAGCATATTGCTAAATTTTTAGAGAGTTTTTATCATTTGTCGAATATTTACAAGTCAGTTTATGGCCTGAACAATATCGTATTCGAACACTTTCTTGAGTATGCAATAATGCGAAATAGATATATAACCGTGCAAAACTCAAGAGCGCACCTCAAGTATAAAAAGTGAAATGTAATTGCTACAAATATATTATTTTCATGGTATAAGAAAATTAATCGCCGAGCAACGACTCCGGAAGCGCCGTTCCGGGCGTCAGCCCAGGGCGTGGGTACTAATTCCGCCCGGCTATTTACACTTGGGGAAAGGAAAGCATTGGCGAAGCCTAAAGTTCATCAATATGATCGTGGGCGCGTGACTATGGTACATGAGTGGACCTCCCACTGATCCCAAAAATATGGCTGTTTCGCAGGAGTACGATAAGCAAGATTTAAATTTCTAAAACATATATTTGGAAAATCGTTTCACACAATGAACTTTGAAGTAATTTTTGATGCTTATGAATTTTGTTGCTTTAACCTTTTGCCTACAACATGCACAACCTCGGTCCCAGGGTACTTTTGAGGAACATACATGCACTGGTTCCCTTTTCAATGAAGCTGTGAGTTTCCTAAATTACCCTGTTTAATTTAAGAAAAAAACATAAAATATAAAAGAGAGTAATTAACTTGAAGACTGAACTGAAGTTACTAAAAAATAAAATTATTTTGTTGTATTAAGTAAAAATATGTACACTTTATCGACAAAACATGTACAGTAAATTTTACGTTAAATCAAAGCTCACAGATACAAAATAACATATCTACAGTACATATTTTGGAAATTCATTGTTGCATGTATATAGTTAAAAGTACTAATCTTTCAACTACCTTTTCCGTTTTGTACAAAATATATATTAAAAATAAAAATTCAACAATTTAAAATTATCGCATTGTTCAACGCCAATTGCTAATACTTCATGTTAAATCAATGTATAAAAATATAGGCGAGGTATAGCTGCATGCATGTATTTCTAGTTAGTAACTGGAAATCTGGCACAGCAATACTGTGACCGAACAACATTGAATGGGAGATGGGGAGGGGGTCATACCTATAAAATGGAACAAAAATATGTTTAGGGGAAAACTGGTGCAAACATTCAGCCGTTCTACAATAAAGCAAGGAGAAAATGTAGTTCATAATTTCCAGTCTTCATGCAATCCGGCCTAATCGTGTAGCTCAGTTGGAAGAGCATGGATCTAGTGATTCGAAGGAGTTTTCTGCTTGCGCGGTCTGCCGAACTAGGATTTAAATATCTCACTCGAGAACTACAGCTAATTCAAAAAGGTTGTCCTTCCAAACTCTAAAACCTTATAATAACCAAATAAACAAAACACTAAGCGCGAAAAGTGCAATACCGGTATGCTCTGCATCGTAAATCTTGGCTTATGCACAAGGATTATGACAATTATTATGACAATTCGGCAAACACTGTGCGTTCCCAAAGCCCTTTTCGCGCTTAGAGTTTAAGGTTTTAAAGGTTTAAGGTTTAGAGTTTGGAAGGACAACTTTTTTGAATTGGCTGTATATATGTACCCCACTCTGCCACTAGAGAGTTTATGTTCGACTTGCGATACCAATACGCCCACCCAATACCGATACTAACAACAGGTCATGCGCATGCGCTCCTCTCGCAAGTCACCACTACCACCGAAGTTGGTCTTGTTTTGGAAGTCGTAGGGATTGTAAGAAAACTCATATAAATCGGATATTTCATAATTTTTCAATAAACACGTAAACTATTTGTTTATTAGCATAGCTTAGCATCGCCTGTCGAGTCATGTTAGTAGTCCGAATTTTAGCTCAGCTGCCGTTTAGCATACCACACATTTTCGGTGACGATTAATGTTTCTATACTTTATCTTTATAACAAAACTGTTAGTGCAAAACTTGTCATCATAAGATTGTTAAAACACAGTAAGGAACGACACCCGCAACAGGCATGAAGTGAGGTAACGAGAACAGGAGGTGATTTCATCTTACTAATAATACATTTATCATATTTCCGCTTATACCAATATATATATAATTATTACAATAAATGACATATATATAAACTCACCTTACGAGGTTAACGTTGTTGTTATAATCTGAATAATTGAAACCAAGTGATCCCAAAACACTTTCCTGAATAAAAAATATTATGATCAACTAATTCATTCAGATTTTGCGATGTATAAATATTTGACTTTTTTCTTACCACTGATTTAGGATATGGCCATTGGGTAAAAGTTAAGCTGCTTTCGTAAAGTGTCTCTCTAAAGTGAAAAAACAGGTTTAACTCATCAGTTTTAACACTGAACGCCGGTTCATGAAATAGAAAAGTACGTTTTTTTCACTAAGGAAAGGATTGATGCATGTGAACGAATAAGTGAATATTTCAGTTTGCATGAACATTCATAACTCATGCATCCACTCGTTCACGTCCATCAGAAGAAAAATATTGCAAGTGTAAACGGGCCCTAAGACTACGTCATGCAGGTACGCCTAACTATACGTTCACCGCACCGTATACGGAAATTAGCCTTTCTCACGAGGGTTCATATTCGCCATTCATATATTCTCATATCAGAGAATTTAGACAATCCAAACAATGTGAAAAGCTGCTTTTTCCAAGTTTTATTTGTAAATTTATCATTACATACACAACTACAGTTATAAATGGTCGCATTCTGCAATGCACACACTCTCGGGCTTGGGAGGAGAGACATAGTTGCCCCAAAATGGCAGATACACCCAGCGTGAGAAAGGCTAATTCGTCGAGTTTCATTTGTTCACTAATTGAATTCATACAGTTAGCTGTACTTGAATTTGCCCAATGAACGGAAAGTGATGAAATGAACGAAAAGTGAAAATCGTATATATAAGCCGAGTTCACCCGCCAAGTGACAGATGTTAATCTAGTTCATTTTAAATGTACATCTGTTGAAAAATAAAAGGATATGCATGACAAAAATGCAGTCACGAATTGAAGAGAATGTCAAAAGAAATATCTTTTA